CGACCGCGCCCGAGGGGCGGCCCGCCGCGGGCGGCCTGGCGCCCGACGGCGGCGCCACCAGCTCCAGCCGGCTTTGCAGCAGCTGGAGCGGCACCGCCGTGCGGTTGCTGATGACGACGTGCGGCTCCAGGCGCAGCATCTGCCAACAGAAACAGGGAAGCCCCAAGTTGGGAGGCATGCTGGCGAGTCGCACACAAGCACCAAGCTCGCCTCGACTGGTTCCTGATGACTGGTTCGAGCAAAGGGCATACACGCATGCCTGGCATGCCTGGCAACTGCTGCCGCGTCGCCGGGCCCCGCGCCCGCGCCGCCCCGACCTGGACAAGCCCTGCTCCCTGCCCGTCGGCCCTGCCGGCGCACCTGCGACGTGCCAAAGGCGGTGACTTCCAGGCGTACCACCACCTCGTGCACCACCCCAAACTCCCGCACCAGCGCCCGCACCAGCACCGGCCGCACAGCCTGCAGGTCTCCCTCCTGCAGGGCAGGGCAGCCAGGACAGCCGGGCTGGCGAGGTGGAGGTGAGCGGCATGAACGGCTGGCCCAGCAAGCGGTGGGTCGGCTAGCAGACGCAAGGGCACTCTAGCCAGGCAACAGCCAGTGCCGCCAAGCCGTGCCGCAGCTGCCACCCCCCGAGCTTCTGCATACTGCGATCACGCACCTGTTGCTGCGGGCCGCCTGCGGCGACGCCTGCCGCCACCTCGGCGACATCCAGCACCAGGGCGGGCGTCCAGCCGCTGCCCGCCACCCGCAGCCGAACGCCGTACTGCTGGCGGCGCTGCTGGCGCTGGCGCTGGGCCTGCTGCTCCGCGCTGGCGCCGGCGGCCAGCTGCTGCTGGGAGGTGGTCTGGGACAGGTAGCTTGGCAGCGGGTAGGACAGAAGCTCCATGGAGGAAGGCGCCACAAAGCGGCGCCCGCGGAAGTCGCCGCGCTGCANGGGCAGGGGCAGGGAGCAGGGGCAGAGAGCCGTCCAGTGGGAAACGGAAGCCACGGCCGCCACGCATATGCAGGCAGCAGAGAAGGTTAAAAGTGTGCGATGTGTGCAGCCTGCACTAGTTCACAGCAAGCAAGAGGCCGGTGACACGCGCACCTGCGCCTGGTCGCCGTCGTCTGTGTTGATGACCTTGAGGGAGGTGTCCGCCCTGCACCAGGGCATTGACACCCCGCCTTTGTCAGGAAGGCCGCCGGCAGCAAGCAACATACACACGCCGTTGCCGCATGCAGCGGCCGCTGCTGCCTGAACCGCTCGGCCCAGCCGCCGCGGCCCGCGGCTCTATGCAGGCGTGGATGGCGGCAGTCGTGCTGAGAGCTTGCCCACCCCTGCTCCCGTCTTCCCAGCCCTTCTCTACGTTTTGCTCCTCTGCTTCTCGCCCCTCCTCCCGCTTCTTCTCCTGTACTGCTCCACTGTCAGATGCCCCCTGCCATCAGCCTGCCCCCCATGTTTCTATTCTTTGCCCCGATTTGTAAACCTTGGCCTGTACTGTTCACAGGGGTGTGTCATGAAGAGGGAGCTCATGAAGAGGGAGCTCATGAAGAGCGAGCTCTCTGAGGAAGAGGATCCATGTGCATGGTGGGCGCTATCGCAACTGTGCAATCAGGGTCGGCACCTCGGGAGCTCGCCAGCGGCTCCCAATCCGACAGCCGCCTGCCAGCCAGCCAGCCCGCGCATGTGGCCGCCTCAGGCGGGGATGTAGCCGCTGCTCCAGGGCACAACTGGGCCTGTGGCAAAGTACTCGGGCTGCTCCCCGGGCGCCAGCTGCTGGGACTTGAGAGTGCACAGGCCCTGAGGGTACACCCTGCCAGACCCATCGTCGCTGCACGGGGGGCGGGGAGAAGGCAAGGGCAAGGGGAACAGGCACTGAGTGGCAAGCGCTGGAAGCAGGTTGTGGGCTGCACACAGGGTCGCAAAGCCACACCCCGGGCACTTTCATTCCGCATTGCTGGTCACTCGGTTCCCTTGCAGCTGTCCAAACCAGCATGCCGCCCAACGCACCAGCCGCCGTCTTTGGGGCAATACACAAACACGTTGCATCCGTCGGTCTCCTGGCACTCTGTGCAGCATTCGGTGACCGAGCCGCGCTGCATGTTGCTGATGGTCGCTCCTCGGGCGTTGGTGTTGGGCAGCAGCGTGCACTGCTCCAGCTGCATCCCGCTCGGTGGCGGCCGTGGCGGCGGCGGTGCTGCGGGTTCAGGTGCTGGGGCGGGTGGTGGCGGCGGCGGTGCTGCGGTTTCAGGTGCGGGAGCAGATGGCGGCGGCGGCGGTGCTGCAGGTTCAAGTTCGGGAGCAGGTGCTGGCGGTGGCGGTGGTGCAGTTTCAGGTGCGGGAGCAGGTGGTGGCGGCGGCGGTTCTTCGAAGGGAGGAGAAAGCAAGTCAACAGTGGCATCAGGCGGCGGCAGAGGTGCTGGTGTGCCTGCTTGCGGCGGCGCGGTGTCCGGCGGGGGTGCGCCCGGCACCGGGATGGCGAGCTCAGAGGGGCGGCCTGCCGCTGCTGTGCCTAAGAGGGCGGCCAACAGGAGGCACGCCAGCGTGGGAGACAACGGTTTGAGAGCAGCCATGGTGGTGCCGGCCAGAAACAAGGGCTGGGCCGACCCAACACCTGAGGAAGAGGGCCAAGTCTAGTAATATTGAGAAGGGTGGCCTGCTTTCTGTGCCATCCAAGGCTGGTGGAAAGCACGGGCAGCTGCCTTCCGACATGCTCGACTGGGCGCCAAAAAAAATTTCGGAAGGAATAGACCCCTCGACCTCATCAGCTTCCCAGCTTAGGCCCTGGTGAGGGCAGCGCGTCGCCGGCGGCATCGAGCAGTTGTCAGGGCGCCAGGCACCTGAATAGCGCGCTTCGCATGCCTAGCTGGCTTGCCTCTACTACAACATCAGCCGCCCAGGCCCAGAGGCTGGGTATGGCAGGCGTGGGATGGTGCTGGCTGCCGAACCCAGTCCCCGCACCGTCCTGCCCCTGCCCGCCTGCGCCGCCCGCCAGCTCAGCCTTCTTGCGCCGCAACGTCTGGCCCCAGGAGGTGCTGGGGCCTCTGCACAGGCTCTCACATTGTGCCAGCGCTCTTCGACACGTGAGCCGAGTGCCGCCGCACTTTGCAGGCGGCTCACTCCCTGGGAGAGCCCGCACCCTTGCTTCCTTCACACCCCCGCGCAACTTCGGGCGAGCTTCTGAACCCGCTCACCGCGCTCAAGTTGTGGGCAGGAGCATCCCGCCCGGGCTCTCGCAAAGCTCTGGCCGCAGCGGGACTCCAGCCGGGTAGTGTACAAGAAGCCAATGTCATCGGCAATGCGCCTGGTGCCGGCCGCGCAGAGCCATGCGCCCCGCCCCGCCTTGCGCCTCGCGACGCTGCAGGCAAGCGCCGCCCGCTGCTGGCGTGTGTGGCCCAGAGTGCCTTGGCTCGCTGCCTTGAAGGTGTAATGTGCTCTTTGCTTCGGTGCTGAGCTGTGAAATGCATTGTTGCTGCAGCTGTCTGTACGTGGCAGGCGGCGCGGTGCCGTGTTCATGGCCGCCGCGGGCAGCGGCCCCTGGCGCTTTGACGACCTGTCAGGAGCATCGACAGGTGCTCCATGCTGCTGCTGCTGCTGCTATTGCTTGCTGCTGCATTGGGCTGCCTCCATTGCTAGCAGGCTTGGCACAGGTTCCTGCTGCTGGGGCAGGATGCAGCAGCAGACCCTAGCTTGCGCCCTGCCGTGCCCGCATCTGTAGGCATGAGCAGCACCAGCGGAGTGTCAGGCTTCGATGCGCTGTGGCAGGAGCAGATACGGGGCATGGAGCGCGCGCAGGCAGAGATGGCGGAGATGCATCGCCAGGCGAGCACAGCGGGGCAGGTTGCCTAGCCAGGGAGCTGCTATGGCACCTTCTGGAGCTGCCTGTCCGTGTGAATGCACCCTGCAACAACCCTCCAGCCCCTGGCTGCTCCTTGCCTGCCCGCAGATGGACCAGCGCTTTGAGGCGTCGCAGCGTGAGATGGCGCAGGTGCAGCAGCAGGACGGCGGCAGCGGGCGCGGGGTTGAGGAGCGTCAGCAGCACATCGACGGCGGCGGCGGGCCCTGCGGCTACCGCTGGCAGCGCTCGGAGCGGCACGAGGGGCCAGGTGCGGCGGCCAGCCCCGCTGCGGCAGGCCCTGCCAGCCTGCCCTATCAGTGCTGCCCCTCCTGTCCCCTCGTCCCTCGACCCTGCTCCACACCCGTGCCGCAGGCGGCTCCTACCACGCCTTCCGCTCAGAGAGCTTCACGGTGATTGGGGTGCCCCACGGCTGCAGCGGCGTGGGCGCGTACGCGGCGCCGCCGTCCGCGCTGCACCTGGGGCCGTGGACGGGGGTGGGCCTGCTGCTGGCGGCGGGCCTGGCCGGCTTCTGGGCAGCCGCGACTGCCGCCTTTGCCAAGCGCTTCCACCTCACCATCTACAAGGAGCGCAGCCGCTGGTGGCTGCTGCTGGCCTGGCCGCTGCTGCTGCTGGTCAGCGCCGAGTTCAGGACTGAGTGGCAGCAGGCGATGCGCGGGGGGGCGGCGGCGGGCGAGAAGGATGGGCCCAGCGGCGATCGCTTTGTGCCCAGCATGCCCGGCAAGTAGGTCTGAGCTGCTCGATATGTACCAACAGAGAGTCACTTTGTAATCTAGCGCCTCAGAGAAACAAGGGAGGCGGGGAGGTCAGGGGGCTTTCCACCTTGGAGGAAAGTCAGGAAGCCAGCTAATGATGCACTGTCTGCCTCAACCCAAACCTCCAAGCAGTCATTTAGCCTTGGACTAGTGAAAAGAGCCAACCTGAAACAGCCACAGCCCATCCTCTGGTGGGTGGGCGCTGGTCCAAGGTGCACCACTTTCCCGTCCTGCCTCCATAGATGATGCGTACACAGGCAGCTCGGGTGCTGCAAGCAGGGGCACTGCAGGCCCGCGGCATGGCCACCCAGGTGCGCTGAGTGTGCAGCAGGCAGACGGCTGGCATCCGCCCTGCCGCCCAGTGCTGGGCGCCAACATCCAGCTTCCGTGTATCTGGATCCAGGCGAGGCTGCCTGACCTCCCGTACGGTTACGACGCCCTCGCTCCCATCATTTCTGCGGAGATAATGGAACTCCACCACAAGAAGCACCACCAAGTGAGGCGCCCTGCTGCTGCCGCTCGCCCTTGGCAAGGCACCGCCTAAACGCGTCTCGCTCAGCACCTGATGGTGTGCCGTCCGCCCCCCCGCCCCACTGTTCCCGCCCCACACCACCCCCGCCTCCTCAGGCCTACGTCACCGGCGTGAACAAGGCGCTGGAACAGTATGCCGAGGCGGAGCACAAGGGGGACGTGCCAAGATGATCTCGCTGCAGCCCGCCATCAAGTTCAAC